GTTTTCTACATAACAGTAAGATTTTCCTTTGTTGTGAATTTAGCTGGTTTACCTTGGCATGAGAAGTCAAATGGAGATGATTTAAAACAGGGGTGAAATTCAGAAGTTCTGACAGGTTCTGGAGAACCAGTAGCGGAAATTTTGAATAGATTGGAGAACCGACAAATACTACCTCTGGCTGGCCCCAGATTGGGGAGGAAATGGGGATTTAGCAGTATCTCTCCCCTTGAGTGGGGTGGGAAGGGAGATTTTGCAGTATTCTTCCCCTGCCACCAAACCACGCCCACAGAACCAGTAGTAAAAAAAAATGAATTTAACCACTGATTTAACAACTTGCTAATAAACAATGAGGTGTAATAAACAGCAGAAAGTTCATAGACCAATGTATAGACCAAATGATCAATGCGTTCAGTGTTTTGTTTCTTTTCAGTGATTTTGCCAAAAAATATAGATTTTTTTACTGTAGATCTGACTGAGAAATTATTATTTTGTTGATATAGCAAACTGACTTGGTTTGAAAATAAATTATATGGATAAATTTGCGTTCTTGTATTGTTTTTATCTTTATAAGACCTTTGTGTCATGAACATTCTTGATTTATGGAAAATAATCCAAATACGATTGAAAACTCTTTTCAAGCCTTTGACCATAAACTGTAGTAAAATAAATATTAAGAACTTAAGAGATAGTATATAATGTAAATTAGTACAAATGTTTTATATATATAAATAATGCTATTGTTTTTAGTATTCTGTGGAAATTCTGGAATATACAGATTTTCAAAAAGCTGTTGGATTATTTTTTGATTGAATTGGCCCTGCAAAGAGTATATGTTAATTTTTTTTCCTATGCCATATTTTTGGATGTGAGAATGCTTTGTGGAAGTATTTTTATACTCTAAAAATTCTCTGCCCAGCATTCTCTGGATAGCACAGTAAAATATAGGCCTTTATTCAATAGGACATTTGTATTTGGAGGGGAAAATGCTTAGAAGTATGAGAGGGGCATGAATGATATACTGTCCACAACTCTGCGCAACTCCTTAAACTCCTTTCCTGGTAGGGCATGACTGCCCTTCCTAATTTCTGTATGCTCTAAAGGAATTATGACTCTGCTTGAGGATTTGCGGATAAGAATTATGTTCATGCTCCCTTATTCAAAATATAAAAACGGACATACATATTTTCCTAAATTTATTTATTCTACTTGTTTATTGCCAAATCAATATAGACTCATGCCGATTTATAGGACAATCGACAAAATATTCATAACAGTTAAAAATGTTTACAGCAAACCTAAATAAATTAAAGCAACTAAAAATAATGAAAATTACAACACAAATATAAATTAAAATACTCTGTTTCCCCGAAAATAAGACCTCCCCAGATAATAAGGCCAATCAGGCTTTGGGGTACATGTGCTAAAATAAACCGTCCCCCGAAAATAAGCACTTCCTGAAAATTTTGCAACAGAGATGCAGCCATGAGGTGACCATGCTTGCCGCCTCCTGCACCTCAAAAATAATAAGACCTCTCCAAAAATAAGGCCAAGTGCTTATTTTGGGATCAAAAGAAAATAAGACCCTGTAATGATAATAAGGAATAGCTAAATCATAAAAAAATCAAAATAATTTTCATAAATCGGTTAATTCAAAGTCAACAAAATTGAAAGAAAAATCATTCTTTGGAAAGCTCCGTCTTCAATAGCTTCTGCAATGTTAGAAGGGATGGAACATATTCTAAGAGGGGGTATTCCAGAAAGCCAGAGCAGCAATTGAAAACCAGCTCTCAATGATTCTGGACAGCACACAATGATGAAGCAAAGAAATTGCAATAAAATCAATAAAAGATAGGTGTGAGTGCAATGAAATGAGAGATTTTTCTCTCTCACTCACTAATGTAAAGAGCCAGGTCTTTACATCTCTTCTAAACCTCAGCAGAAAGGTGGCTATCTGGATTTTGGGGAGAACCTCATTCCAGAATGCAGATGCTGCTACAGTAAAGGTGCTCTTCCAGTGTTTCCATAGATTACAGGTAATTCTCAATTTATGACTAGTCATTTAACTTCTGTTCACAATGTCTATGGAGATTCTCAGTTATCCAGGTCCAGAAAGCCCAGTTGCCTCTTGAAAAAAGCAGCTTTGGGACAACTGTTCACAATCATAATGGCCTCAGAACTTCCAGCTATCATAAAACATTGCACTGCAATTTCAGTCACATGACTGCATTTTGGGCACTTGGAAACCTGCTCATATTTATGATTGATTGCCAAGTGCCTTGCAATCAGATGATCACCATTTGCAATCTTCTCTGCCAGCTTCTGTGGAAAGTCAATGAGAATGCCAGCAGGGAAGGCTGCAAACCGAGGGAATATTGGATTTGAGGTCCGTTTTCCCAGCATGCTGAGAGACTTTTCTTCCCCTCTGTTCAGGCAAAGGAAATCTTCCTGCGGACTGAAGAACAGAGCTCAAATCTGGCAAAAATGCTAGCGAATGCCATAGTTGTTGTAGGTTTAGAATCCCTGGGTTCGCTAATGTTTTCTCCTCTGAAGGAGAAAATGCTAACAAACAACATTATTCTGAAAGACCTTAGTTCTTTCCCTGGTACTCCACTTAACAACAAGATCCAGGAATGCTTTTGTTAAGTGAAGCAATCACATGACATCTTGCTTAACAACTGCTCTACTTAAGAGCCAAGATTCCAGACCCAAATGTGGTTGTAAGTGGAGGACTACCTGTTCATTGTTTTATCAAAAGAGTCTTGAGTATATCAACCCCACAGAATTGAATTGGCTGACTAGATGATGTTATGGGTGATCCATCAAGTAGCCTAGTCCTATGCTTTGTAGGGCTTTATTGGTAACAACTAGCAGCTTGAATCACACACAGAAGGAACCTGGCAGCTAGTACAGCTCACAAAGTAAAGTGTGTTATCTAAGCATACTGAAACATTATTGCTTGTTCCACTGTACTCTGAAACACTAAAACCTGGGCAGTCCCATGTAGAGTGCATTGCACTTGTGGATATGAGTGACTGCCTAAAGAGTTCCTCAATCTAGAAAAGGGCTCAACTGGTACACCAGATCAAATTATGGAAAAGGCTTCTAGCCAGAGTCAACACTTGCTTTTCAAGCAGGAGCTGCAAATTGCAAGCCAAAATTGAAGGGGGAAGTGCTACCCAATCCAAGGTCCAAGATGAAATATCCACCCAAAGATTAGGGTGTCTACTCTGTTGGTGGGATTGAGTTGTAGACAGTTCCTCCTCATCCAAACCCACAAAGCTTCTAGGCACTAAAACAGAACCTTGGCAGCCTCACTTGGCTGGCTCAGGGTAAAAAAATATGTAACTGGTAACATCAGCTTACTGATGACCAGCAGTTGACTAGTTGGGGGGGGGTGTTGGTTTGGGGGGAAGATAACTTCCTCCCTAGGTCTTTTTTGTGGGGGTAGTTTAGGATTCTATTCTCTCACCCATCCTTTTCAAGTTGTAAGCCCTCTCTAAGTAGTTTACAGGTCAACATATTGCCTCCTACAGTCTGGGTCCTCATTTTACTGACCTCAGAAGGATGGAAGGCTGAGTCAACCTTGAGCTGTTCGGAATTGAAATTCTAGAGTGAGAAGTGAGTTAGCCTGCAGTACTGCATTCTAACCACTGTGCCACCATAACATTGAAAGAAGCTGTCAATGACAAACCATTTTCATATTCTTGCCAAAATAATTTTATTTATTTTTTATCCCACCCTTATTATTTTATAAATAACTCAATATGGTGAGCATTACTAATACCCTTTCCTCCTATTTTACCCACAACAACAACCTTGTGAAGTGAATTTGTCTGAGAGAGAATGACTTGATTCAAAATCACCCAGCTGCCTTTCATGTCTCAGGTGAGACTAGAACTCACAGTCTCCTAGTTTCTAACCTTATCTTTAACTAGTAGACCAGTGATGGTGAACCTTTTTCAGCACTGAGTGCCCAAACCAGAACGTGCGTACATGCGTGTGCATGTGTGTGTATGTGTGCGCGGGAGGATCAGAAACCTGAAGACCAGCAGGCCGGCACGTGCATGTCTGCTTTTGGCCATTTTCAGGCCATTTGGGGGGCATTTTCCAGCCCTCCAGCAACCACGAAGATCAGCTGGCCGGTGCTCATGTGTGTGCCAGAAACCAGAAGAGCAGCTGGTGACAGCGCACATGCTCACAGAGAGGGCTCTGTGTGCCACCTCTGGCACGCATGCCATAGGTTTGCCATCACGATACTAGACCAAATTGGCTCTCTGATTGAATGGTAATATCTGTGTAATCAGCAGGAATAAAGCTTTTTAATATTTTTTTATCTCAAAAAAATCTAAAGGCAATTTTCAGTAGTCTTAATGCTTTACTTTAAGAGGGTGAATTTTTGTATTTTTTTTATTTTCTAGTTGTATGACATTTCTAAAATGACAGCTGAGATGGACTAGAAAAGAAAATTTGCTGTTGAAGCAATTTGTGTTGCAGTTCCCAACAAGTTGTGTTATGTGATATCTTGTGAACCATTCCCTTATTTTTGGCATTATATCGAAATCTAGAATATTGCATCCAAATTTTATTTTGTTTTTAACTTTAAAATAGAACTGTGGAAGGCTTTTGTTTTTCAGACTAGCAGTGCTAAAAAGGGAATATTTTAACACAGTCCCTTTTTGCTACTTATATGTGATACTGGGGAGGAATACAACTTTTAGCCAAGTGATTATTAGGACTTCCGCTATGTGAAATTGCTGAAGCAAGTCTTCTAGGTCTGTAAAATGTTAATACTTTTCTTGCAAACATTAGTAAAAAAAATGTTACAATTAAAAATATTTTAAGCATGCCTTTGGAATGTTCTATCATGGCTATGTCAACAAATCCATTTATGGTCAGCGGATAGTAGATTATCTTAGTTTGTTATACCAACAATTTCTGAAATTGTATAGACTTTTAATTAGGTATATTATGAAAAGTGATCAATATTTTTCTCTTTTTAGGTAAGCCTTTCACATCTAAGGTGAAGCAGATGCGATTGCATAAAGATGACTTTGAAATATTGAAGGTGATTGGCCGAGGTGCCTTTGGGGAGGTAAGATTTAGAATGTTTTTGCAGTAACATGTAGTAAAAATGTACTAATACTGTAGAAACATGATACATGTAATTAAATTGCAGAAGACATCTTTGATGTTTCTGATATACAGTGTACATAGTGTGTCATTAGATTTAATGATACATTTGCCTTTTCACGCTAGTTTATAAGTCCTTTGCGTTATACCAATGCCATTTGTCCTTTATATTTGTTAATTTTTATGGGATTGATAGGACAAAAATCAGGTGTGATGATAACCAACTATACATTATATGATTGAGAAGCTCATATACTATGAGATTGTATTATTCAGAAAGTTCTGAATAACACCTTGCAAAGAGTTTTTGAGTTTGTACCTGTTTAATAGGTTGTGATTTTATAAAGGAAGTAAAAAGGCATTACCATCTCTCAAGTATCTGTCAAAAAAGTTACTGTTAGTGATGAACACAAAGTGTCAATTAATGGATAATGTTTTGTGGCCAAAGGACCACATGAATGAGCTGAAAATTATTTCCTTAATATCCAGAGTTCTCACCTGATCATAATAGATGAGCTCCCCATTCACCTTCCTCTTTAACTTTTCCTCTTTTCCCTTAGAGGTCAGAATGGGAAGAATTTCTCCATTCAGTCTGCATCTTCCTTCCAAAGCTAACCATTGTCAATTTTACATCAGTCAGTGAAAGAACACATGCTCCTTGCCTCCTAGCATGAAACCTTCTGGTATTAGCACTACTTTGGCTCCTTGATGTCTGTCTGCTGTGGTACATTGGCCAAAGCTGTTGTAAATGGCTTCCTTGATGTTACAAGATATCTGTTATTTGAGGTGCAGTCATAGATTGAGTGACGTTATGTAGAAAGTAAGGAATACAACCTTGATGGAGATTTACAGAAACCATCCCACTAGGCCAGAGGGGTTTAAGCACTTTTTTAAAGTCTAAAATAATGAGATAACTTTGAGAAGCAGCTGAAGCATATGCATCTCTGAGTCACTGAAGTATAAGAAGGAACGAGGAGGTCCAGCACAATCAGGCTTGGAAATTCTAGCTAATAGCAATAGAAATAGTTTTAGCCTACCTGTAGAGTTGATTTCCAGGCTTAGTCAGTCTGGATCAGGACAATCTAACTGTCTGTACAATATCTATATTGCTTAGTATGGTATCCTCAGCTTTTTATGAAATACTAGTAATTTTAATTCAGAAATAATATTCTGCTTCCTAAAGGTAGAAAAGACAAACAGAGCATTCAAGAAGTTGAGCTCCTTTGTTGTGAGGAATATACATTACAGGTAATTCTTGAGTTACGAATGTAATGGAGCCTGCCAACCTGAGTGTTCATTGGAGTGAATCATATAAAGTGAAAGTGAAAATTCCCTGCTTTTGCCCACACATTTGCTTATCGAATGTGTGAGTCGCTAAGTGCATGAGGTATCTCAGTGTAGGAAAGGCCGGGGAAGGGCTAGTGATGGAAAAGACCACCCAGGGATTCCCTTGACCCATTGAGATATCTCATGCTATTCACCACTGCTTTCCCCCTATCCTGCCATGCCAGGTCTTACTTACTTGCAAAGATCTAGCAAGCCGCCTTCCCTCTGCCATAGTTTCTTTGCATGCTCCTGGAGCTCCAAAGGTGGAGCAGTGAAAGCAGAGGGAGAGCAGGATGACTCTGCCCTGCTCGGCTTGCAATCTCCCTCTAGGCTCTCATTGTCTTTGCAGAAAGCCCTTGCTGTCAAAAACAGAGCCCGGGAGGGACACGGCAAGGGCTTTTTGCAAAGACAATCAGAGCTAGAGGGACACAATCTCCCTTTGCAAGCCTTTGCAAAACGTTTTTGCCTGCAAGTACAGAGCCCAGGAGGGATGCGCTGGCCTTTCCAGGGCTCTGTTCTTGATGGCAAATACTTCTTGCAGACTTCGACAATGAAACAGCAAATGGAGGGAAGGCCTGAAGCATCGAAGCCTTCCTTCTGTTTGCAAAGCTTTTTGTCACAGATCTCATCCAGGCCTAAAGTAGTCCAAGATAATGTGAGATCACTAGCATGAGATCTCACACTATTGATCTTGCATTATCTCACAGTACTTTAGGTCTCTGTTCTCTGAGAATGCACTGAAGGCCTGAAGCAACAAAGCAGGCAAAGAAACCATGGCAGAGAGAAGACAACTTGCTAGATCTTTGCAAGGCCCAGTGCTTGTGGATACTCGGCGGGAGGGGAATAGGCAGGACGAATGTTGCAATGCCTACCTGGTCGTTCATAAGGGTGAATGACTGCTGTGGTGCTGCAACATTCATAACTTTGGGACTGTGTCATAAGTACTTGGTAGGGTTAATGTCGTAACTTTGAAGGTCACTAAGTGAACTGTCATAACTCAAGGATTATCTGTATTTGAATGTTTTTACACACTGTAAAACAATGTGTCGCTCTTCAGAGTTTGACCAACAAAGAAAGAGACCACACTGAGGGGCTCAACAGAAATCTTTACTGGACTTGGCTCGGCACAAAATGTCTACATAAACAAAAGTGTCCGAGAGTTGGCATTGCCACAGTGGTTTGCAAATCATATTAAATGACTGTGTTTTATCTCTGCATATATATCAATAATTATTTAAGCAACTTAGATAGCTAATATGTATTAGTTGAATTGCTGGATTAAGATTAGGGAGACCTAGGTTTATATCCACTCATTGAAGCTAACTGGATGGCATATATTCAGTTATTATTTCTCACCTCAGAATAACTCATACGTCTATTTTTCTGATTGTCTATTGCTGTGGGGGAAAAGACATGATATAATCCAACAAAATTTACTTTGATAATATGCTGATAGCATCTGCTTAGTCCTAGCTTTCCTCCCGAGAACATGTACTTGAATTCTTAGTTATCATATAAAATCTATGTTTTTAAGATTTTCCTCTTGATGCAAGCCTTGATTTCTGAAACTATATACTAAGGTTTGGCAAAAAATCAGTTAACAATATAGTTGTCCCTATATTTTTTTCAATAAAAACATTGATGTTAACTTCTAGATTGTTTCCAAAAAGTCATTTGAAGAATTCTAAGGAACTACAAAAAATTTTTAGTATGCCTTTGCTACACTCCCTCTATAATTATGTGTCTCCCTAAAAATAATCTATAATCCAACAGCAGCACAAACTTCAACTGAAAAACCTTAAGGTATTGCTTTCAAGCTGATTCCAAGATCAAATAAAGTTTGCTTTGGAGATATAAGAAAAATGTATAAATGGTTAGTGAGGGAATGAATTCTGATTTTTAAAGATTATTCTTGTAACTTTCATTCTGCAAATATGGATATAATTTACAGGAAAGTAATTTTATTGTACAGGAATGGAACCTTTTCTTAATTTAGAATATAGACTGCATGCAGCTGTCCAGTTTTTCATCATTTTAGTTCAAGGCAAGGACAGTTTGTGCTAGTCTGGATAGACAATGCATATCTGCTACTCTTCGTGCCAAATGAATGCAAAATGGCTAATACTCTGATTACTTCCTACCTTTTTTTAAAAAAAAGTCCTACACAAGAAGCTATAGGGATCTGTTAGATTCCCCCCCCCATATATCTTCATCCATTAAAATATTTGAAGAAGGAAAGGCAAGTATGTTGATGTATAAGTACACAAGAGACCTAACTTAGTAAAGAAGGAGAAATTGTTTGACAGCAAGCCAGATGGCAATAACTATTTGTGGGAAATATGGAAGAAGAATTTTGCCTTTTCCCTTTCCTTCAAACTAAAACCAAAATGTTTATATCAGCACATACCACAGATTTTTAGCAGGCTATTCATGGAGGAAAACACACTTCTAAAAACATTAAATATTCAGTTTTAATAAATCACAGTGGCAGACTTTTTTGAGAGGCCAGGGAAAGTATGTGGTTATCACTTTACATTTCTATTCTATTTGCTGTTTCAGTATCATGTGCAAACCTGTTTGTGTGTGTGTGTGTGTGTGTGTGTGTGTGTGTGTGTGTGTGTAATACTGATGTAGATACAGTTTCCTGTTGAGAGAAAACAGAATTCGAACTAGCCCATTTTGAAATACTTTGTATTAATATGCATTATATATTAATTGTTGCAGATATGAGCATTTATTCGTAAGATTTATCCACTATCATGATCCGCTATCACACCTCTCATTCCTCTCATAGGAGTCATGAAAATTATAGGAGTCATGAGAATTATGTTTCTTTCAGCTTCTTAAAGATGGATGCTATTATTATAGCATTTTACATTCTATAGAGGCCACTACTACCGTTTGGGCAAAGACGTTCAAAACTACATGGCTAGGATCTGTTTAATTTGATTTTTTAATAATGGACATTGAAAAACACTTTTTTTTTCTTACAGTGTTTAATAGTATATGTTAAAATTGTGGAGAAAGACCCCAAGAAAGGTTAGGGTTAATTGATTACTAGTTCTAGATCAAAGCTTTAAGCTAATAAGATTAGTAGCTACTAAGAATTACAGTAGGTATTTAAGCTAATAAGAAATCTCACAAGACATAAGGTTTCTGTACATTTGGGGAGGAGCGGAAGATTGCAAGCATGATAGTCAGCTTTGTTCTATGTGTGTGCTATATATTGATTGGAACACACATAATTATGGATGAAATTTCTTGAACAATAGAGTTGAAAAAACTAGTTCATACTGGTCATGATGTTTGCCTCCATAGGTAAATCATTTAATGTCTTAATTACAGTTTCAAAGTTGTGCTTATGTCAGTAGTATGACCATTGATTTCTAATGATGTATAGGAACAAATATCAGTGTAGAGACTATCAGTTAAATTACTATAACTCTAAATTAATAATCTCTATATAAATTAAGATTTCCTGTTCTCCAGTTATACTGTTAATAGGCATTTCTACTTTCTAGTTGTGGATTTGGTCATATAAGTTATGATTTCATGAATTTGAGGTGTAGAAATCATTTATATTTTTTACAATTTATTGCGTCTCTGTAATTGAGTATTTGTCATGCTCCGTGTAAAAGTGCTCATCATGCCTAGACTAAGTTATGTTGATTCACAATGTTGTTTTGCTCTATGCCAGTAGTCTAAGCAACAAAAGCATAGATAGTACCAATGGGGAGAAGAAAAAGAATTTCAAAGGGCTATTTTAGATGCCTTTTTACTCATTTTAATCATCTTGGTTATTTTGATTGCCTTAGTTATTTTGCAATATAGAAAACATATAGAAAACAATTCATTGGTTTAAGAATAGATAGATAGATAGATAGATAGATAGATAGATGGTTGATAGATAGATAGATAGATAGATAGATAGATAGATAGATAGATAGATAGATATCTGTTTGTCTGTCTAATGTATATAGTTGCTGTCTCATTGGGTGGAGGGAGTACAGTTAAAAGCAAAAGCAACAATTCTGTAATTAAAAACATGGATCGGTACTATTAATGACATAGTAACAGAATTATTGTTGTGGGCAATGCAGCCATTATAGTTCCTCACACAGTCAGCCAGATATTCAGATTGGATTTGGCATCCCCCCTCCACCTATTTAATCTTTCCCAAGTATCTGGGGTAGGCAGATGTTGATGTTTTATGTGTTTCAAAGTATTGTCACAGGATATAATTATTGTTAAATTTATTTGCTACCTATCTCACCATAGGATTACACCAGGCAGCTTACAACAATAAACAATGATGAAATAAAAAGGAAGTAAATAAATAGAACAATAAAATAAATAATAGAACAATAAAATAAAGAAAAAGAAACAAGGAAGATACATCAGTATGATTATCTCACTAACTCACTGTTTCCCTGAAAGGTCCGGTGCCTTGTCAGAAAAGTGTTCTTCCAAATATTCTTCAAGGGTCATTCCATGTAGAGCACATTGCAATCATCCATTCAAGAGGTGATAGTAGAACAATCAGAAGGTGATTAGGGAATGGTTGATGGTAAGCAAAACCTCCTGATCCAGGAGTGGGCACAACTGACTTACAGTATGAAACTGTGGGAAGGACACCTAGTCTGCCACTTGCTATTTGAGCAGGAATCACAAGTCCAGGAGAATCCCCGGATTGTGTACCAAATCTATTTAGGGTAGTGCAACCCCAGCCATTGCAAAAGATGGCATAATGACCAATTGGAGGGCCCCAGAATCAGTCTTGCCAGAGTTCAGGTGAAGCTTGTTGTTCCTCATCCTTTCCTGTTTTGGTTACAAATACACACGTACAAACAGTTATGGAATTTAGCAGTTTTTTTCAAGCTAAGGAAGACACAGCAGACAAGGAATGCAAACCAAACTGAGTCTCTGAAAGAAATTTTTCCTGATTAGTTTTACTTTTAACAGAAGCACACAGAAGAATAGTGAAAATTCAGTCCAAGTTTCCAAGAGCCAGATCAAGGATGTCAGTTAATCCAGATGTCAAAATTCCATAAGCAGTATCCACATAATAATAACATAGGAGCCAGAGATCAGGCAGGAACAAAGGATCATGGATCAGTGCTGTTTCTTTGTGTCTCCTGAATTGGACATTCTACAGGTTCAGCTGGAGCAGCATATAGATCAAATGATAGCATTAAATGATATTCTTAATTGTTATTGGTTGTTGAGCAATATCAAGAATATCACTTGTCCTGAAATGCAGAAATAGTTATAGCTGGTGCATAGATATGAGTTGGCAGCTCAAAGTGTTTAAAACTTCCTGAAATAGTAGAATATTAGATGTGTATTTTATAAAATCATAAAAGATTATAGTAACTGTTTATAAACTGTTTATTAGAATGCACTAAATTATATGTACAAAGAAATAAGGCATCAGTGTCACTCATTTTGGAATCTACTATATATACAGATTTTTAGGAGGAAACAGAAGGACCGGAAAATTCTTACATCAGATAATATTGGTCCTTCTTGGATGAAGACAAAGAAGAAATATCCCAGTTGTACTCATATAAGTTATATTACTGGAGCTGCATTAGTTAAGGCAAGAAAGCCTGAAAAAAATTAACAGTTTATTTGGTAGGATTGAATCAAGGTAAAATTGCTATTCAATCAAGCTTTATCAGACAAGGCATATTTGACTATAAATTAGAATCTTTGAACTGTGCTCAGTATGGGGCCTTAATTAATCCTTTGGAGGGGAGATGTGATGATGTGATGACTATAAAACTGATTTATATTATCCATAATTCTTTTGGCAGCTGAAGACTTTGATGGTATTTTCTCTATTTATTGTAAAGTAGAAGCACTGTATTTTCAGCTTTATTTTTCTAATCCTGATTATAATTACTTGTCTCCTGTTGATTTTTGCATGTGTTTGTTTTCAAATAATTGTACCATTTTGATTTAGAGATTGAAGCTTAGTAAATAAGAAAAAGGAAATGGCTAAAAATGATACTGTTATTCTTGTGTTTTGGCATTTTATCAGAAAGCTGATTAAAGTGTAGCAAAATGGTCAGACTCAAAATTCCTAGGACATAAAGACCCTCTATATATAGCTCTCATTCCCCCCTCCTTTTTTAAAAAGCTTGTTCGAGATTGTCTTTTCTAATTTTTAAAAAGTTTCTTTTAAGTTTAAACATTATTTTTTTGTGTATGGACATTTCTAGAAAAATAAATAAAATGACTGCTTTCATAGAACAAAATGTAAATCTTTTAAATAACTAAATATAATAGTTATAAATATACTTCAATACCCTATTGTTAAGAAACCTTAGTTAAATGTGAATTAATTACATGAATACATTATAATAAAGTATGTTATTATGTTAACATAATAATGTTTTGCTTATGAGAAATGTGTAATTTTGAGGCTTCCCACCATTTTTCTTTTCTCTCTTTTTTATATTGAATAAAAATAAAATAAGCTCACTTTCGCAGTCACATCTCTCTGTGTGGGTACTGTATTCTGTTTTGAATGTGTCTTTGACCTGTCAGGATATCATAAAACATTAAGTCAATTTGTCATCAAAGTATGAACTTGTTATTTAAGATCAAGCTTGGACTAGAAACGAATGTATCAAATACTTCTTTGGAATAACTAAGTTTGTTATCCTCAGAAACGAGTTTTACTAAAACAAGAAAATGATCAATGTTGTATTTAGAATAAAAGTTCCCCATGTGTTCCCCCCATCACTTATTTTAAGACTTTACATTATATTGATTGAAAGGCAATTATGGAAAGGACAGCTATGCCTGTGGCGATGCTTTCACTAAAAATCTCCCTACATACCAGTGTCACCATGTGTTTTTTGCTTCCACACATATAATTTTGTGTACAGAAATCCAGATGGGCAAAGGAATTAAGAGCCTTTTCAAAAGGTTTATGCATAATGGAGACAGCAGGAGCCATAGACGGATTGTCCTCTTAAATTGTATAGATGTACAACAAGTTTCAATTTGCAGTTACCTGGATTAAGGTCGGATTTGGTTTGGCTTGGGCCTAGATTTGAACCTGCTCGGGCTGTCTTGGAGGCTGAAGTAATGGGCCAGATGATGGGCCATGCTTGTTACCCTGGCTGTGCTAACCATGTTTGCCATGACTTTGGGCCTGGTGCCAACTGCGCTTACTGTTTCTGTGGCCACTCTCTAGTGTATTCTCTTTGCTGTTGGCATTTCTCCTCCAATGGATTTTTTTCCTTTATAGATTTTGCTGGCAGTTCTATTAGAAGGCTGGTTGGAGGGCCTTGGCATGGAAGTCTGGGCATTTGCGGCTGGTTAACAATGCTGAGGGACACTTATAGCATGCCAATAATGGAGGCATTTGCTTAATTGGGTTATTTTTATCTAATTTTAGGATATTTGTGGTGAACAAATGAATTTTTCCATCATATTTGTGCAGAAAGGTCAGGAGGGTTCACAAAATTTTAAGCTCCACTATATAGGAAAAATGTTTAAAATTGTAATATATTCTGTTTGTTTTGGTGAAAACACAAGTATTGCACCATGCTGATATACAGGTAGTCCTTAACATATGACTATGATTGAGTCAGAATTGTACTCGTAAATCATGGTGGACATTAAATAGGTCATCACGTGATTGCACGTGATGTTATTACCTTTTTTGTAGTGGTCATTAAGTGAAGACTGTGGCTGTTAAGGTAGCACAAAGGTTGTTAAATTGTTAAACAATTTCCACAAAGGGCTTTTTTGTCAGAAATCAGAAATAAGCACGGAAACTGGCAAAAAACACAAAAAATCATGGTCATTTGATTGCAGGATGCTGCACATAGCTGTAAATGGGAAATGGTTGTCAAATACCCAAAATGTGATCATCCGATTGAGGTGAGGATGTGTGGGCATCAGAACTTTAAAAATGGATTGTAAATAGCTGTGGGAGGTCCTACATAACTTCAAATGGTTGTTAAACAACTAGTCATTAAGTGAGGACTACCTGTATTTCTTTATAACTAAAATAAATTGTGGGATTATAAATGCATCGGCAGTGGCATTCTGAGAAATTAATATTTTATGCCCACTTTAAAAAAAATAATTTAATTTTTGCAGGTTGCTGTTGTGAAATTAAGAAATGCAGATAAAGTATTTGCCATGAAAATATTAAATAAATGGGAAATGCTGAAAAGAGCGGAGGTAAGACTCAAGGAATGTTCAGGTGGCTATTAAGTTTGTGATTTTTTTTCTCTTTCAATTAGAATCTGACAAGCTTAAAAGAAAAAAACCAGATTATTTCTAAATGCAATATATCTTGAAAGAGTATGAAATTTTTCAATATGTTGCTGTCATAGTTTTTATTTTCATAATTTATTTCTGCTGAATGGTCTATATTAATCACCTTTTAAAACAGAATTATTATTATTCTGCCCTATTTTGATTTCTGCTTTTTAGATTTTTATTTTTATTTTTTTGCTATGTGGCTTTTTATATAGAATTAGAATCCAAAATTATTCATCTTAGAAACATTTAAATAGTCGTTTGATCACAGGACAACATGTAGATTAAATTTCCAATAAATCTCTTCTGTTTTTAGAACCACTTGCCCATAAAAGTTTGCATACACCAAATTTGGGCATTCATTTTGGTCTGTGTGGTTCATGCTGTGGATTAGAATCATCTGCACAGTGTCCGATAGATGATTGACAAAGTCAGCTTTTTGACAAGAAATTAAATGCGTACTGTATTCCTATCTACTTTTTGGATGTTGCCAAATCACTGACTTACCTTTTAGTGGTTTAAATAAAGATAGAAAATCACATTAAATGATTAAAGATGTTTGATATACCAGAAAAATACTTCTGCCTAAATTGATTTAATTTTAATTTGGAAATAAACTATTACATTTCTTCTTCAAGTTTTTTTACATCCTCCCCCTCCCCCGCATCTCTTTTTAGTTATGGTGGGATTCTTAATTGTGGGTTCTGATTGTCATTAATATTAATTCCATTATAACAATACAATACAGATCATTCAATGAATCCAGCTGTTGGTAAATTCAGAATATGTACTGGTAGTCTCCTAATAATTGACTTTTCTCTCATATCAAAGGTAGTAATTAATAGATATGAAAAATACTGTTCTGATGGTTTCATTTACTATTCATGCAGAATTTATTATGTGGCAACTCAGGATAGGATGTTTTTGATATTAGCATCCCGACTTGGGACATTAATAAATAATTATTTACTTAGACTTTTAACTGAAACTATGTTGGTTATGTACAATAGCTGTGTTTCATGGTTCTTGCCATTCTGGTTTTTAATATTCAGTGGTAGCTTTCCAAGAACTAATGTTACACTTTTATGATTTTAAAAATAATTTTATTACTTTAGCCACATTTTATCCTTGTTCTGGATTATCATAAATTGTAATAAAAAAAATTATGGCAATCCTATTTCCTATATCTTGAGTATTATTGTTTGAATGAAAAGAACTCTAAATGACTTTACATTTTGCTTATAATAATTATATTTATCTATTCTTTAGACAGCTTGTTTTCGAGAAGAGAGGGATGTTTTGGTGAATGGGGATAACCAGTGGATTACAACATTGCACTATGCCTTCCAGGATGAAAATTATTTAGTGAGTATTACTTAAAAGTAACTTTTGAACATAATGTCTAATTTTAATTTACTGTTTACTTGTATCTTACTATTTAATGATAACTAAAATAGTTAAGTGGCAAATATGCTGCTATGCCACCATACAAGCAGTTGTTAATAGTATCTATGAATAGACAAAGAGGTGTATTTTCTGTATTATCTGCACACAATTTCACAAGGGAGAAAACACATCGAAGTATATGACATTATTTCTAGTAGGATTTAAAAGCCACAATTGGCCAGCTTCTCATGGCACAAGAAGTTAGCCACTTGTGAAGTACTACAGTAGTGTGACCCAATTATTTTTTTAAAGGTTATGTTTGAATATTATGTATGAATGTAATGACAGTTTCAAGCATCTGCCCATCTTATTCCTTTTTTTAAAAAAAATGCTGCAGTCAAAATATGTCAGATCTTAGTAATATATGATTGGAAGAACTGATGGGAGTAGATTCTTTATAAATTAACTATATGTAAATTAACTATACTTTTAAAGTTCCCTTTTTGTATATCTTTGAAGAGAAGCATGACATTTATGTCTCACTCCAGTTTCTCAAGTGATTAGATATTGCTACATTTTATTTTTGTATTTTGTGGCAAGTGACGGATAGATATATGGGAAGAATAAGCCATAGAATATTTTTTGTTAATAGCAAGGCACTTCTGTAGTGTTTTGCTCTAGCATTATTGCACTTCTAATATAGTCTTTGTTAGGTAAGCTCCCTGTTGGGAGAGCGAGTGCGTTCAGAGAAGCATTGTGAGAGTGGTGTTGGAGAACACACAAACCAGCATACAGAGACACTGCAGTTTAAATAGGCTTTT